GGCTTTTTTCTTTTTGCTTATGTGGTGCTGAGGAATCGAACCCAGGGCCTCTAGCATACAAGGCAAGCGCTCTACCACTGAGCCACCTTCCCAGCCCCTTTACACTGTTTTCTCTCTCATATAGAAGATGGCTTTGAAAAGTTCCCATTGCCTGTGGGAAGGAGGGAGGCTTCAATGGGAAGGTTCTGGGCATGGAGGCTGTGGAGCTCTGCTGTAGGCTGAGACACCACTTGTGATCTGGGCACAGAGGCTTGGGGGGAAGGGAGGGAGGACCAGGGAGGGGCCAGGCCTCCCAAGTTTCTTGTCTACCTACAGGTCTGCTTTCTGTCTCTCAGGTGTGGCTCCACCAGGCGTTGTAGCTCCCTGAGCAGCCTTCCCTCTGACGTTCCCAGGCGTGAGGCTCAGCCACCCTCAGGCTCTGCACCTCCTTCCCAGCACAGAAGTGTCAGCTCCTGGGCATCCTCCATCACTGTCCCTCAGCCATTCCGCATGACACTGCGTGAGGCCCGGAAAAAGGCCCAGTGGCTGGCCTCGCCTGCCTCTTTTGAACAGGAGAGGCTGCAGGCCCAGAGGCAAGGCCAGGAGGAGGCTGAGTGCCACCGGCAGTTCCGGGCACAGCCTGTGCCCGCACATGTCTACCTGCCCCTTTACCAGGAGATCATGGAGCGCAGCGAGGCTCGGCGGCGGGCGGGGATCCAGAAGAGAAAGGAACTTCTCCTCTCATCCTTGAAGCCTTTTAGCTTTCTTGAGAAGGAGGAACAGCGAAAAGAAGCTGCTCGAAAGAGAGACTTGGCTGCCACAGCTGAGGCCAAGGTCCCCCAAAAGAAAGCCACCAGAAGGATCCCCAAGTCTATTCTGGAGCCAGCACTCGGGGACAAACTCCAGGGTAAAGATACCCTTGCCACCTTGCTGCCTCCGGCCTGAGGTCCCCAGAGGCACTGTTGAGGATTTAGTTAGGGTTCAGAGTCACCCTGGAGATAGCTGTTTATGTGCACCAACCAGAGCCCGCACACTCTGTGCAGGCCAGGAGGGAGGGTTGGGTCTGTTGATATGTCAGGGAGCCCTGTGAGGTCGTCCAGCCATTCCCCAAAACTCCTGGAGACTTGGCTCAGGCGTACATGGGAAGGAGCAGAGACCACGACACACCCAAGGACCAGCTAAGGCCAGTGCCGACAACAGCCAGATACCCCTAGGAAAGCAGCCAGCCTTCTATCCACACACACACACACGCATACACACACACACACACATGTACACACTCATGCACTCTCTGATGGGAGCACCCAGAGAAAGTGACCACCAGGCCGGGTACCAGTGGCTCATGCCTGTAATCCTAGTTACTCAGGAGGCTGAGATCTGAGGATCAAGGTTCAAAGCCAGCCCAGGCAGGAAAGTCCATGAAACTCTTATCTCCAATACACCACTCGAAAACCGGAAGTGGCACTGTGGCTCAAGTGGTAGAGCGCTAGCCTTGAGCTGAAGAGCTGAGGGACAGCACCCAGGCCCAGAGTTCAGGCCCCATGACCAACCCCCCAAAAAAAGTGACCACCAGAGCTGACTGTGTAAAGGAGAAGCATGGCCAATTTGTCAATGAGGAGAAGGTGGGGCTGGAGGCAAGAGGAAGCCAAGAAAGTTACAGAAGAGGAAGAATGGGGGGGGGGGCTTGTCCCTACCTCAGAAATGTGGATTTCATTCCAAGGGCACTCAAGAACCACTGACAGGTTTGAAGCAAGATATCTCATGATGATTTTGTGTAATCCAGAAAGATCACTCTGATTTCTGCATTAGATAATAAGGGTGGCAAGACTGGCTGGTTCTTCCTTCTGCTTTGCCTCTCAAGAAGAAATTATAGCTGAACACTTGAAATCATAGCTATTTAAGAGGCTGAGATCTAAGGATCATGGTTCAAAGCCAGCCCAGGCAGAAAAGTATGTGAGACTCTTACCTCTAATAAATTATCCCACCCCTATTCCCACCCTTCCCCCAAAAAAGACAAAAGTGGAAGTGGAGCTGTGGCTCAAGCGGTAGAGTACTAGCCTTAAGCAAAAGCAGCTTAGGGTGCTGGGAACTGGTGGCTCACACCAATAATCCTTGCTCCTTAGGAAGCTGAGATCTGAGAATCAGGGTTCGAAGCCAGTCCAAGTTCAGTCTAGTTCAAAGCCCCCTGGCCAAAAGAAAAGAAAAAAGCAGCTTAGGGACAGTATCTAGACCCTGAGTTCAAGCCCCAGACTTACACACACACACACACACACACAAATGTCTGAGCCAGGTGCAGTAGCATATGCATGTAATCTTAGCTACTCAGGAGCCTAAAGCCGGAGGACCTTGAGTTGGAGGCTAGCATGAGCTGCATAGTGGGAACCTGAACAACTACTAAAACTTCTCCAGACCTTTAGTGTACTGCTTGCTCTCTCCTCACCTATCACTGTCCTGACTCTTCCTCTACAGAAGCTGAGCTCTTTAGGAAAATTCGCATCCAGATGAGGGCCCTGGACCTACTCCAGATGGCCTCTTCTCCTATCCGCTCCTCTAGCAGCCGGGCTGACTCCCAGCCCCGCACAGCCACCCGCACTCGGGAAGAAAAGCTCAGCTTTCTGCAGACTGACTTTGGATTCCAGCCTCGGGTGAACCCTTCTGTCCCTGACTATGAGGCCCTGTACAAGGCCTTTCAGAGAAGAGCTGCCAAGAGAAGGGAGACACGAGAGGCAACTCGTAACAAGCCCTTCCTGCTGAGGACTGCCAACCTGCGCCACACCCCACGGCCATGCGATACTCCTGCCACCAGAGAGAGCAAGGTAAGAGTCCAGACAGGTGTCTGGGGCTTGTTCCAGGTCTTAAAGGAAAGTACTTCCAGTGCTGAGACCTGAGCTCAAGGACTTGTGCTTCTTGCTTAGCTTTCTTTAGTATATGCCAGTCCTGGGGCTTGAATTCAGGGCCTTGGTGTTGTCCCTAAGCTTTTTTGCTTAAAGCTAGTGCTCTACCACTTGAGCCACAGCTCTACTTTTAACTTTTTGGTGGGTAGAGATTTTCATTGCTAGGGCTGGTCTCAAACCATGATGCTCAAATCTCAGCCTTCTGAGTAGCTAAAGATTATGAGCTACTGGCCTCTGGCTTATTCTACTTAATTAAAAAAAATTAAGAACAACAACAAAAAAAAACCAACAGCTCAATTGGAAGCAGATCCACATTCTTTTTTTTTTTTTTGGCGGTCATGGGGCTTGAACTCTGGGCCTGGGCGCTGTCCCTCAGCTCTTCAGCTCAAGGCGAGTGCTCTACCACTTGAGCTACAGCGCCACTTCCGGTTTTCTGGTGGTTTTATTGGAGATAGGAGTCTCACAGTCTCTCCTGCCCGGGCTGGCTTTGAACCGCGATCCTCAGATCTCAGCCTCCTGAGTAGCTAGGATTACAGGCGTGAGCCACCAGCACCCGGCTAGATCCACATTCTTGTAAACGTAAATCTACAGGAATCCTCCTTCTTTCATCCCTCTCTGTAGAGAGATTTTGAAGAAAAATGTCTGGGAACCAGTGAATTGTTTATATTGTTTATATTCCCTTCCCAATACCAAAGAACTCCTCTCATTGTACTCCAAGCTACTCAGGAGGCTGAGATCTGGGGACCACTGTTCAAAGTCAGCCAGGCAAGAGAGTCTGTGAGACTCTTATCTCCAATTATTTATCAAAAAGCTGGAGGTGGAGCTGTGATCAAGTAGTAGAGCACTAGTCTTGAGCACAGAAGCTCAGAGATAGTGATCATATCCTCAGTTCAAGCCCTAGGACTATGCTAAAAGAAAGAAAGAAAACTAAGCTGGGCGCTGGTGGCTCACGCCTGTAATCCTAGCTACTCAGGAGGCTGAGATCTGAGGATCACAGTTCAAAGCCAGCCTGGGCAGGAAAGTCTGCGAGACTCTTACCTCCAATAAACCACCAGAAAACCAGAAGTCCCGCTGTGGCTCAAGTTGGTAGAGTGCTTGCCTTGAGCTGAAGAGCTGAGGGACAGCACCCAGGCCCAGAGTTCAAGCACCACAACTGACAAAAAAAAAAAGAAAGAAAGAAAGAAAGAAAGAACACTTTATGCTTAACGTTCAAATCTTGGATTAGTTGTTAAACTTGATCTCATTATGCTTGCTTTGTTCCCAGGGGAAAACAAAGAAAGGTTCTCATTTTCAGTCCTTTTTGGACATGGACTCCTAGCTCAGATAGAATCTAATCACACCTGCTGTCCCACTGTAGCTCCCTTCTTTGCCTACAGGATTCCCCACAGCCACCAGCAACACCGCTGCCAAGGAGTCACTCTCTGAGTGGCCTTGCTTCTCTCTCGGCCAACACCCTCCCAGTGCACATCACAGATGCTACCAGAAAGAGGGAATGTGCAGTCAGGTAAGTAGTTAGGCTGCACAAGATTCAGTGCTCTAATCTTGGCTTAAATGCTGGAAGCCACTTTTTTTTTTTGGTCGGTCATGGGGGATGAACTCTGGGTCTGGGCTCTGTCCCTCAGCTCTTCAGCTCAAGGCCAGCGCCCTACCACTTGAGCCACAGCACCATTTCCAGCTTTTTTCTGCTTATGTGGTGCTGAGGAATCAAACCCAGGGCCTCATGCATACAAGACAAGCTCTCTACCATTGAGCTAACTTCCCAGCCCTGCAAAGACACTTCAAGGAGCCCCAGGGTTTCTCTGATCAGGACAGGAATCTTGCCCTCAGTGTACAATGTCAAGGTTTGAGATCTCTTAGGGACCCTATAGAAATAAGAAAATAAAAATACAGAAAAACAAACAGCTACTGTTTTATGGAGTACAGTAGCAAGGACTGGGGGCATTGTGCAGCCAAGTAGACTCTTGTCTTTTAGAATAGATGCCTAAGATGAAACCTGAAGGATGAGGAATACACAAGACAATGCTGAAGAGAAAGAAAGTTCCAGACTGAACAACATGTAAAAGCCATACATATTTTTATTTTGTTTTTAGCCAGCCCTGGGACTTGAACTCAGGACCTGGGCACTGTCCCTGAGCTTCTTTTGCTCAAGGCTAGCACTGTCTACCACTTGAGTCACAGTGCCACTTCCAGCTTTTTGTGTTTATGTGGTACTGAGGAATTGAACCCAGAGCTTCATGCATGCTAGGCAAGCATTCTGCCACTAAGCCACATTCCCAGCTGCCCATACATGAAAGAGAAAAGTAGCCATGAGGAACAAAAATTCAGAGGGGCATGAAAAGCAGGTGGCTGAACTTGCTCAGAATTGAAATGCTCAGAAATTCATCTTGGGGAGATGTCAGAGTTTGCTGGGAAGCAAAAACTTTCCTTTCTTCCCTGGAAATCACACCCAGGGCCTTGTGCATGGTAGGCAAGTGCTCTGGGCTAGTTTTAGCTTTTGTGACTGTGTTTTTTTCACTACTGGGGTTTGAACTCAGGGCCTACCTAAATAGGCCACTGAGCTACCAGCTCTATTTATTTGATTTGTGGTACTAGAGACATGTGGGCCACTCTACCAATCCCTTTTTTTTGGGGGGGGGTCTGATCATGGGGCCTGAACTCTGGGCCTGGGTGCTGTCCCTCAGCTCTTCAGCTCAAGGCTAGCACTCTACCACTTGAGCCACAGCGCCACCTCCGGCTTTTTTCTTTTTTGCTTATGTGGTGCTGAGGAATCGAACCCAGGGCCTCAGGCATGCAAGGCAAGCACTCTACCATTGAGCCATCTTCCCAGCCCCACCATGATTCTCTCAATCTCAGCTTCCCACAAATTAAGTGACAGGCACACACTCCAAGCTATTCATTGCTAAGGGTGTTTGCTAGCCTCAAAACAATGCTCCTGATCTTAGCCTTACAAGTAGCGAGAATTAGAGCTGTTCTGGTACTGGGGCTTAGAGCCTCATGCTCTCACTCTGCTTTTTCACTCACTGTTGGCTATGACTTTCTAGCTTTTTGTTAACTAAAGACCAGAGTTTCTTGGGTTTGTCTGCCTGGGGTGATTCTGAACCAAGATTCTCAGATCTCAACCTCCACCCTCCTGAGTAACTAGGATTATAGCATGAGTTGCTGGAGCCAGCCACTTGCTTTAATTTTTCAGTAAGAAATTAGGCAGAGCTTGATTGAGTAGGCAAATGAGCAAGCATACAGACAAACAGGCATGCAAACAGACAAGCAGAAAGGCAGAGAGGCACTCTAACATAGTGTGAGTGCTCAAAAGAAGACATATTCCTTGTTTTATTTTTAACTCTTTATCAGACACAACTCTGGTATTGTTCTCATCAAACCAGCCCTCAGGAGTTTCTTTTCCACCAGGCCCCTGTGCTGATACTTTTCAGTACCTTATTGTAAGACACCCAGGGAAGCGGCTAGAACCTCTCATGCTCCAGGCCCTCAACAGGAGTTACAGAAATATAGTTAGGGTTTAAGAGATACTCCTTTCTCCCTCACATTTCATAGTTACTGGAAGAGTTAAATGTATTAGTAACCTAAGGCCCAGTGAAACAGACTGGTTCTAATCCTGGCTTTTCCAATGGCATGCTGGGTAATTTGTCTGACCCTCTCTTATTTAGTGTCCTCCCTGATGCCATTCTTTACCTCATAAGGTACCCTGTAAGGATGACATGACATGATGAAATGTACTGGTGCTCGGTTCATAATTGGTAGGTCAGTAATTGCTTCCAAGTAGGTTGGAAGCCTAGGCAAGTTTGAATATTTCAGCTAGTTAAAGATTTTTTTGTCAGTCATGGGGGCTGAACTCTGGGCCTGGGCACTGTGCCTCAGCTCTTCAGCTCAAGGCCAGTTCCCTGCCGGGCACGGGTGGCTCATGCCTGTAATCCTAGCTATTCAGGAGGCTGAGATCTGAGGATCACAGTTCAAAGCCAGCCTGGGCAGGAAAGTCCATGAGACTCTTATCTCCAATAAACCACTCGAAAACCGGAAGTGGTGCTGTGGCTCAAATGGTAGAGGGCTTGCCTTGAGCTGAAGAGCGCAAGGACAGTGCCCAAGCTCTATGACCAACAAAAAAACAAGCCACAGTGCCACTTCTGGCTTTTTTTCTGCTTACGTGGTGCTGATGAATGGAACCCAGGGCCTCAGGCATGTGAGGCAAGCACTCTACCACTGAGCCACCTTCCCAGCCCTTAAGGATGTTTTTATTTCACATATTCTCTTCTGTTCAATGAATAAATCTCTCCTAGGGCAGAAAATTACTGGGTCTATATTGCTTAAAAGACTTCATCTGGGCTGGGAATGTGGCTTAGTGGTAGAATGCTTGCCTAGCATGCATGAAGCCCTGGGTTTGATTCTTTAGTACTACAGAAAAAGCTGGAAAGTGGTGCTGTGGCTCAAGTATTAGAGTGCTAGCCTTGAGCAAAAGAAGCTCAGGACAGTGCCCAGACCCTGAGTTAAAGTCCCATGATTGGTTAAAGCAAAAACAAAAACACTTAATCTACCAATTCTCTATCTTAGAATCTTTTTTTTTTTTTTTTTGTCGGACATGGGGCTTGAACTCTGGGCCTGGGCGCTGTCCCTCAGCTCTTCAGCTCAAGGCGAGTGCTCTACCACTTGAGCTACAGCGCCACTTCCGGTTTTCTAGTGGTTTATTGGAGATAGAGTCTCATGGTCTTTCCTGCCTGGGCTGGCTTTGAACCGCGATTCTCAGATCTCAGCCTCCTGAGTAGCTAGAATTACAGGCGTGAGCCACCAGCGCCCGGCCATTTCCAGCTTTTATTATTTTTATTTGTGCTATTACTGGGACTAGGACTCAGAGTCTGGGCACTGTTCTTGATCTTTTGTGCTCAAGGTTAATGCTCTACCTCTTGAGCCACAGCTCCAGTTCTGATTCAAGCGCCCGACTTGAATCTTTTTTTTTTTTAATAGAGATTTTAGTACAAAAAGGTTATAGTAGAGGGAAATAGAACTATTGCCTGCTTCCTAGGCAGAAAATGCTATGGTATATTATTTGCCCCATTCATAAAAAACAGCAACTGACTTTGCAGAGATTCCTACAATTACTTTACATATTCCCAGGCTTGTCATCTGTACTGTTTGATTCTCCCCTTTAGAACGTCACTTGAAAAAAAGGACAAAGCGGATGAAAGTATTCAGTGGTTGGAGAAGCACAAAAGAAAGTGTCAAGCCATGTCTAAATCAGTGGCTTTACGTGCAAAAGCCATGGATCCCCATAAAAGCCTGGAGGAGGTGTTTAAAGCAAAGCTGAAAGAGAATCGGTTAGTGTCCTTCATGTGTCAAAAGGGTGCCTGCAACAAATCATTGGCCTTGAAAATGTCAAAATGAAGTCATCAGAGCATGCTTTCATAATCACTAATCAATGCTTTTGCCAGGCAGTGAGCAATTAAAAAATATGCCTGGGAATTACTCTGCTTAATTGGAAAGGATATTTTTGTTTATTTGTTTTGCCAGTGCTGGGGCTTGAACTCAGGGCCTGGGCATGTCCCTGAGCTTCTTTTGCTCAAGGCTAGTACTCTACCACTTGAGCCAGAGTGCCATTTCTGTTTTTTTTTTTTTCTGTTTATGTGGTGCTGAGGAATTGAACCCAAGGCTTCGTGCATGGTAGGCAAGCACTCTACTACTAAGCCACATTCCCAGCCCTGAAGGGTATTTTTGATCATAAAAGACAGAATTTTTTCTAGAAATCTTGTTAATTCCAGGAACAATGACCGCAAAAGAGCAAGAGAATATAAGAAAGAATTGGAAGAAATGAAGAAGAGAATACAAACAAGGCCCTATCTCTTTGAGCAAATTTCAAAGGTAAAATCAAACTGTCATTCATTTTCTTTCTGCTGTGGATAAAAGTTACTTTAGAAATTATGAGCCATTCTAGGGCTGGGAAGGTGGCTCAGTGGTAGAGCGCTTGCCTTGCATGCCTGAGGCCCTGCATTCGATTCCTCAGCACCACATTAAAAAAAAAAAAAAAGCCAGAAGTGGCCCTGTGGCTCAAGGGGTAGAGCGCTAGCCTTGAGCTGAAGAGCTGAGGGACAGCGCCCAGGCCCATGGTTCAGGCCCCATGACCAGACTCCCCAAAAAAGAAATTATGAGCCATTCTAATGGGTGGCTTTTAAGTTTTTCCTCAGGACTCAAGATAGCCAGTTCTGGGTCTTGAACTCAAGGTCTCTTTCTTGGCTTTTTCCACTCAAGACTGATGCTCTGCTACTTGAGTCACTCCCCTACTTCCCACATTTTTCTGGTCAATTGGAAACAAGTCTCATAGACTTTTCAAGATGGCTGGCTTTTGAATCCTGAACTTTTATGCTCAAGACTAGCTGTCTATGGCTTAAGCCTTCACCTATGTCTTTTTGGAGGTTAATTGGAAATAAGAGTCTTGTGGATCTTCCTGCCTGGAGTTGTACCAGGATCTTCAGATCTCAGCCTCCTGAGTAGCTAGGATTATACGTGTGAGCCACTAGCACTGGGCTTATTGAATTTACTTAAGGCAGTTTACTTCCAATTTGTTACTGTTTAATATTCCCAATGACATTCTGGTTGCTTTTAAATCTTAAATTTTTTTTTTTTT